GTGTGAGAGCATGTGTGTACTGCTGAATGTGGAGACCAGAAGTCAGTCTCAGATGTTGTTCCTTAGGAGCCATCTACCTTGTCTGTCTTTTCTTTTTTTTTCTACAGGGTCTCCCTATGTGATAGAATATGTGACTTGCAGAAGAGCCACAAGCCTTGTTAGGGAAAGCCATAAATCCCTTAAAATGTCTAAATGACCCTAAATTGGCAGCCTGGCCTTGCTTAAGCCGGACCTTGCTCAAATCTTATCAACTGGTTACTCTCTGGACTGAGTGAGACTGTTTATGGAGCCCACCTGTCTCCTTTAGTGCTATAGATAACTCACTCGCCTGCCTGAGAAAATAATCTTGGGAAAAGAGACCCTCAAGGTCACTAGACCCTGGCATGGAGTTAAGTCTGCAGCTGTGTGCAGCAGAGTTCCTATGTAAGTCCAGACTGTTCCCTCTTCAGTGCAGAGATAATCATTCCTCAAGGAACAGCTATCAGCCCTTTGCTGGGTTTCCTGAATCAAGGGAACTCATTCCTGGCCTGTTACAGGTCTGGCTCTGACTCTTATTTCTAAACTTTAAATTTCTTCCTTTTTCTGCCCTCCTAAATATAATACTATATAGCCTTCGCTGGCCTGGAATTTGCTATGTAGACCAGACTGGCCTTGAACTCACAGAGATCCAAATGCCTCTGCCTCCTGAAGGCTGGGAACACCATTTTTTTTTTTTTTTTCAAAAAGGGTCTCTCCTCTGGAATTTCCTAGAAGGCTAGGCTGACTGGTCATTAAACCCCAGTTATACACATTTCCACTTTCTCAAGGCTGGGATTATAAGTGCTCATCATCACACTGGGGTTTTATGGTTGTTGTTTTTTGTTTTGTTTTGTTTTGTTTGTCTTTTTTTTGGACAGGATCTCCCTGTAATCCCAGCTGTCCTGGAACTCACTAGGTAGACCAGGCTCGTCTTGAACTCACAGAGATCTGCCTGCCTCTGCTTCCCAAGTGCTGGGATAAAAGGTATGTGTCTCCATGCCTGGCTTTTGTTTTGTTTTTTGAGACAGGGTCTCCTTGTAGCGCCAGTAGACCTGGAGCTTGCTGTGTAGACCAGGCTGGCCTCGATCTCACAGAGATCCACTGCCTCTGCCTCCCAAGTGCTGAGATTAAAGGTGTAGGCCACCATACTCAGCGTTTGTTTTTTGTAAAATGTGGGGACTGGGGCTTGAACTCAGGTCCTCATGCTTGTGCAGCAAGTATGTTACTAAGTGAGCTATCGCCTCAGCTCTGCCTTTTCATTTCATTATTTATTTATTTATTATTTATGTATTTTTGGTCTTTTTGAGATAGGGTCTCCTTTCAGCTCCAGCTGGCCTGGAATTCACTATGTAGATTAGGCTGGCCTTGAACTCACAGAGATCCTCCTGCCTCTGCCTCCCGCATTAAAGGCACGTGTCACCATGCTTCCCCACCTTTTCTTTTCATTTTATAGATGGGGAAACTGAGACTTTGAAAGAAGAAATACGGTCCCAAGTTTACACAGCAACTACACGGCATTCGAGGTTGCTGGATGAAACAGTTACAGGACTCCCAAAATGGGAAGGTTGGGTCCCAACTTCAGCATTTCGGTTTCTTTTTTGGCCTTTTTGAGACAGGGTCTCTCTGTAGCCCCAGCTGGCCTGGAACTTGCTATGTAGACCAGACTGGCCTTGAACTCACAGAGACCTACCTGCCTCTGCCTCTCGAGTGCTAAGGCATGTGCCACCACGCTTGGCAGCATTGTGGTTTCTTTGTCACCCCATCAGTCTTCCCAAATAAATCAATTTATTTTTACACTTAAGGTCATTTGAGGATCTGTTCCTCAGGGGTCACATGGGCTTGGGAGGAGCTCCTGACTCCTTTCTTTTAGCAGTTCCATCTATGTGAAGATAAGTCAAAGGTCCTGCTCAACCATGTCTGGCTTCACTTGGAAGCATGAATGAGATGTTTCCTCTGAGTTGACCCTCCTCCTCTTTGTAGACTGGACCCTGGTTCAAGTCCATCTCGTGGGGTCTCTATGTCCTCCCTGAACAAGAGGACAGGTAACTCACCACATTTACAGGGCTTTTGAGAGATGTTCCATAGTCCCCTGGAGCTTAGTCGACCTTGGAGGGCAAGGGGCAAAAACTGTCCTTTAAGTCCCTCTGACCACATTAGTATAGGCTTCAAACTATGGTTAGTTCCACAGTCTAGTACTTTTAATTATCATGTGCTGTGTAGATAATCTTTCTAACTGCTGTGTGTGACAGGCCCACAGGGCTTCTGCTTCCAAGGAGCTCATGCTCCATAAAATCAGCCAGGAATATTGCCAGCTTTGCCTCACAGGAGTGCTGGGAGGATTAATAAGCTAATGGCAATTGGAATGCTCCAGCAATGGCCCTGGATAAACTCAGGGCACTTATGTGTGAAACTCACTGCCAAGGGTGGTTCCTGTTTAATAAGGCACCTGCAGCTATGTTCCTGATCTGCTTGTGGTATGCAGGAAGTAAAACCACATTACAGCCTTCTTTGGAAAGCCATTTGGATGTCAGAAGCTAGTCCATCTCCTTGCCCACCTGAGAGTAAGGAGGGTGATGGTGTCCCTGTGGGCTCTTAGAGGTGTTCCACCAAGGTCTCAGAAGACTTTCCAGCTTACAGTAAGGGACACCAATTATTGACAGAGCTCAGAAACTAACATGACTATTTGGATCCCAGAGGCAGACAAACCTGGGCCAAATCCTGCTCCTATCCTTTCATCTCTCTGAACCTCCATTCTCTTTTAAATGAAGGTAATAACATCTTCTTCATAGGGTTATTTAGAAACATATACCTGGCAATATATTTAGAAGCTCCTCACTCAGGGCTTGGAATAGAGTAGATGCTTAATAAATGGCTATTATTGTAGTTATTATTGTTATCCTTACATTGTTATAATATTTACAGATATTTTAGGGCCAGGCTGAGAGCCAGATGGAGGGAAGATTTATTTGTTCAGTCATCTGCTGGTTTGCCCTAAGTAGACCTATCAAGCAGAGGAGAATCATGAAACTAGGCATTTGTAACATAATGTTGTATGTGCTATGATGGAGTATGCATTAGGTGTTTAGAGATCATAAGCAAAGCATCAGTAACCAGGAGACACAGCAAAAGTTTTGCAGGGGAGGTAGTTCTCCCTTTCCTGTCTGTGCTTCTACAAGACGCTGCCTGATGGAATCAAGCAGGATGCAGGCAGCTGCTGAGCCTGCACCACAGCCAAGGGACCTTGATTGTAATCTGCAGTCTCTTGCTCCTCAAGGCCTTTCAACTCCCACACAGCGGGGCCAACCGCCTTGCCCTAGAATACCCCCTCCTGAGCCACCTGCTGGTGGTAAACAACCTGAGTTCTGTGCTGTGGTTGATGAGGCTGAGTCATAAGACCTTCTTTTCAAAGCTAAGTTGTCAAGGAGCAATGCTCCAGGCCTACCTTGTGGGGAAGGGCTGATGATGACTGACCACAGCTTTTCCGGGGTGGGTGGGGTGGGCGCAAGATGAACCCTTGGTGGGGGAGGAGGGAGAGGAAGCCCAAGGGGCATCTTCATTTCCTTCTGGGCAGGTGCGATTTCCCAGGGTGGACAGGGAGAACAGACGTTTTTCCTCACTCTCATCTCTCTTGGGAGGAGCCTACTGCCTTATTCCCAAGCCAGTTTCCAGGGCCTTTTCCTGCTGCCATCTGGCAATCGCCCCAACCAGTCTTCTCAACACACTGGTGACCACATTTTCCAAGTCAGAACTAAGGACGCATTATCTGGCAAAGAATTTCTGACCCCGTTCCAAATGCAAAAGACAAAAGGCAAAAGGCAAAAAACAAAACAAAAAAACAACAGCAACCCCCCCCCCCCAGCTAGAAACCCTCTAGGCCAATCTTCAGAGCTGTTAAGGGGGGGGGCATTAATTAGATTTGAAACATTTGAAATCCAATCCAGCGGGTTTTGCTTTTCGTTTTTGCGGTGCTGGGAATTGAACTTATGACCTCGCATGGTAGGCAGGCGCTCTAACCATTGAGCTACACCCTTCAACCCGAGTCTTTTCCAATCTGGCTTATTTTTTTTATATTGCTACTTAAGGAGCCTCTGTAAAGATGCTATTACTTCTGTTTAATAGTTGAGAATATTTAGGAAAAAACCTTGTCTAATTTTCTATATCCTGAAGTCTGAATTTTGGTCTGTCAAAGGAGAGATCTGTGTTTTCAAGTCTTGCTGGCCAGGGAGGGGGTTGGGAAGCGGCACAGAAATATCCTTCGCGAGGATGTCCACGCCATTAGAGGCCTCCAGGAAGGGCAGCCAAGGCACTCAGCTGCCCGGGCTCCTACTTCGGAGCTGGAAATCCCCAGCACAGGCCTGGGCCGCCGCCCTGTCCCACCAGGATCTGGCCCGAGGCCACCCTGCCCCGTCCCGAAGCTGGTAGCCGGAATCAGCCCTGCGACCTTGCGTGGCGCTAACTTCTACCCAGGTGCGGATGGGCGGGGCGCGGCGTGGGCGGCCTCCTCCCGAGGCCACGTCGGTCACCCTGCCTCCCCCCGCGCCGGCCGCATGGACGCGCCTTCGGTGACCCGGAGGGCTAAGCGGAGCGAACCATGAGCAGGCGGAGCGGGGGAGGCGCCGAGGGCAGTGGGTCAGCGCCCCGCGGGGTAGGGGGCGGGGCCAACCGCCCCGTGAGGCGCTGACAGCCAATCAGAGGCACCGAGGGCGGGGCCGGTGGCCGCGCGCGCCGCGCCCCGCAGCGCCCCCTGAGGGGCGGCGGCGGGAGCTGGTTCCAGCTGCGCGCGCAGCGGTGGTGGCGGCGGCGCGATCGGCAGGGCTGTAACCGTCGTCCGTCCGGGAGTGGCTGGGGGAGCAGGGGCGGCGGGGGACGGGGGG